ACTTTTAGCTAACTAACAGTTTATTCGTTACTTTTAGCTAACTAACTGTTTATTTGTTACTTTTAGCTAACTAAGTTAGTTGTTTATGTTAGAAGTTATGTTTACTACTGATGAGTTTCGATAAACAATAAAAGTGCTTCGACATTGTTTATGAGATTATAAATGTATTTCTGGAACCAGGAGTGTCTTTTAAATGCTACAGAAAGAAACAACATAAAGTGCTGAAAATAGTTTTTCTCTTGGAGCGTTGGAGGTGTAGACAGTTGTTGTCCAATATATAAGCTCAGTATTGTCTGAACAGGTCGACTTAATTCTTGCAGACAGAAAGTAAACAAAACAAAAACAGGGTGTAGTGGGCGTTTGTCGGAAAAATCTATATCAAAGCTAAAATCAAAGGGCCAGTGACGCACCACGGGTGTGTGCAGGCAAAAGATTCCATCATCCGTGATCAAATCAATGTTCAATGTTTCTGCCTCTCTGGTTAAATGTATACAGTATTAATACAATCGTATGACATGATGGTGACTATAAAGAAGAAGTACTGGTATCTGTTTAAGTTCAAGTGATTTCAACAAAAACCTGAAGCTGATTGTGACAGATTCCCCACTTATTACCTTTTATTACCAAACTTCATGTGGATAGTTTAAGCGTCTGCCACCCTGGAGAAACAGGTCACTGGAACAAAAAATATTAAAAAACAAAAAGACTCAAACTGGAGTAAATGAATGTCTGTCAGTTATTGAGTCGACAAGGATGGGTGACACTGTTTGCCAGCTGAGGGCCAGCCTAAGGCCCAAGCGCAGGCAGTGACCCAACCCTGTTAAATGAGAACGACAACAAGGGTACACAGAGAGTAGCGATGGCCTGCTTTGTCCTCTCTCTCTCTGTTCCCCGAATAGCTCTTACACAAAGGATATCGTTATTCCGCCTCTAATTACCAGATGGAGAGCTGTTTTTCTGCCTCTCGCTCCTCTGCCCTCACCCCCCAGAAATAAAGTGCTCTGCCGTGACGACCCTCAACAGTTATGAAACAGTCTGGGGGACAACATGGCCTGAGCGGGCTTTCATTTAATTTCCTCCTTGAACTATTCAGTATTGAATAATACTGAAGACCAGTTGAGTTTCCACTGAGACTATTTAATCTGCACTCAATCTGGGTGTTTATGTGATGGCCAATCTGTCCGGTCCCTTCCTGTCCCTGCATGGTTTTGTTGCCAAAACCAATCATGTCGAAGACATGCCACCAATTTCACAACCTTGGCTTTAGGTGGACGTATCTAGGCCACAAGACACTCTCCATCTGCCATTCTGTGGCCAAAAGCTTTGGGAGGTCACTCAGGGAGGGAGGGAGGGAGAGAGAGAGAGAGAGAGAAGAGAGCGAGAGAGAGCGAGAGAGAGAGAGAGAGAGAGAGAGAGAGAGATGCACCCAGCCAGGGATTAGGCTGGTACACCGGGTCCAACGGGAGGTGAGATTAAAAGCCAGGAGCTATAGTACACGCATGGTGGAAAAACACACTGGCTGGTCACACTCATGTTTCCATACGACACCCTTCAGACCACATGGCCTACTTCAGCACGGCCATTGAACAAACGTTTTCCACCAAATGCAAATAATTACCAACATGCTGTTAAGGGATTACACCTTTTGGTAGCAATGCTGGCAAGGTCACCATTGGGCAAAAAGAAAAAAAGGTTTGCATTCACAAAAAGCAGGCTGAACTAAACTCTGTCTTTATGAGTTTTGCAAACACGCAGCAGCTTTGCCGTGAGTGTTTTGTTCTGCAGAGATTTGCGTTCCCCATCCTCAGCATATCATACAGTATTCAATCTCAGCAATACCCTCCTCTAACCCTGTCATCTGGCAAAAGCCCTGACCTCAGTGGGTGTGTGGATACAGAAAGGGCTGGGGGGTGGGGACAGGTGTGACTCAGCACCGCCTATATGATCCTCTCAACATCAAGGGCAACACATCACTTGTGCTATAAGATAGGGTATCGGGTCTGGTTTTTGCTGTTGTTTGTCTTTTGGTATTTCCATCTCTAGCATTGCTTGGACTAACTCTGATGGAAGAAAGGCTGTCAACAAGGAGGATTTGGTAAACATCTCATTGGGAGATTAAGAAGGAGGGAGTCTTTTCTCTGTGTGTGAGGCAAGAGAGGGAGGGAGGGAGGGGAAAGAGAGAGAGAGAGAGAGAGGACTTCCCAGCATGGGACAGAGGGAGGGCGTGAGCCTGGTGGAAGGGACTGAAATGTCCTTCATATAAACCGGTGACAAAGTGGCGAGCAGCGGCCCCCAGGAAGCAGAGATCACAGCCAGCACAGAGCACGCGCGCGCGCGAGAGAGGGGGGGAGAGAGGGAGAGAGGGAGAGAGAGAGAGAGAGAGAGAGAGAGAGAGAGAGAGAGAGAGAGAGGAGGAGACCAGAGTACCGCGTACAGGCGCTGGATTCGCAGCAACACATCGGAGAGTCGCGGAGAAAACACTCACCGACAGAGAAGCATAAAAACAGGAGGAACTAATCCGGACGGAGCATCCTTCAACCCATCGACAGGTAAAAAAATGAAAGCATCCGAAGCTGCGTTAAATGAAGCTTAGAGTAAAAATGAGACGGATCGATATCGCAGCAACATTACATGCATTAAATTAAGAATATGCTCTGCTTCAGCAGATGAAACAAAAAATAGCACAAAGTGCCTAGAGGTCAATGTAAACTCAATAATGAGCACCACCACACTTCATAGGGGAAACTGGATATTGTGTTTCCCCCCAACTGCGTGATATAAAGTTGCAGCTTTTGTAAAGATGTTCCATGTTGTCAATTATATATTGCTGTCTGAGCTTTACTTTTAATATGTTCTGTGCAGAGCTACTGATACATTTTTGGTGATAAATTGTTTATTCTTTTTATTTTATTTTCAAGATGAGGTCAGCTGCTTCACATTTAATACAACACCAAAGATGGTAATATTGTGGAAAAACGAATTATTTTGTGTTTTTTTAAACACGTGAGTAGGCTATAGTCTATATGGTTAAAACTGGAAGGTGAGACTAAACTAATGCGCCAGTTTCCCACATTTTCTGCCGATTTCTTCTTTATTTTTGATAACATTTTGTTTACTGCATATCTTAAAAACCAGGGCCATGCGGCCATGTCTAACAGCTTTGTCTAATTCGTGTCATGGGCTACACATTGGCCAGCCTCTTAATTGTCAGATTAAACAACTACGCATGTCATCTCATCTCAGCACGGTGCCTCTGTCTCACCTAATTAGGCTCAACCTGTCTACTAGGTCACCACATGTGGAGCCCGCGCGGCGCTTAACAGCCCGCGCTGCACGTCTAAGTCACACACACACATATGCCACGAAGATTGAAACTATGGAGCCATGAGAATAGCTGCGATTAAGGATTTTACACCCAACGTATTTAATTTTGCAGGTATCATCAAGAATAATTTATTCTCTAGACGTAATTTACATGCATTATATTAGCCTATTTCACGCTAAATTACGCGTGCATTGCTGTTGATTGCTTGAGATTCAGGTGCCAATGTGTTGTCTTTTGTCTGCCGCTGTCCAACGTGCTGAACTCCTTCCCCAGACCTGTTTGCGGCTGCAGAGATGGGTGTCACCTCTCGTCCTCTGCTATTGGTTTGCGCGTATTTGGCGGCGGCGCTGATTGGAGGGACCCGCTCGGAGGGCGTGTGTCTCCAAGACGGCAAGCATAAGGCCGCGCCCGGCCCGGAGCCGCACCTGAGGGAGTGCGGGCTGTACGCTGACAGTGAGTGAACGCCGTTTGTCTTGAGACGCTGCGTGTTTAAACGGTGTGAAAGACAACCTGTGATGGAAACGCCGAAGTGAATCTCTTGACTGACAGCTGGCTGCAAATGTTTTCCTGTCCTTGCTGCCCACAGATAGCTGCTGCACAGAAGAAGACATCCAGGATATCTCCCATGTGCCCTCTGATGTCAACAAGAACAAGCCCTGGGACAAGTGCGGCCCCCTGAGCTCTGAGTAAGTCTCACCCAGAACATACCCCTCTGATCCGGACTCACCTTGAATTTAACCTGAAAGCAGTAAACAATATTTTTTATAATAACAATGGTTCGCTCTGCTACTTGTATGTGTCGCTCGTAATGACGAACTTACAGAGAATAATCAATCTGCAGTAGGCCTGTTGTGATAACTACTTTTTCATTGTTTAACAAACATGCATGCAGGCAATATCGAGGTCAGCAAAAATGATTAAGGTCATGTCCATATATCACATAATGTAAGGATCAATGTAAAGTCCATATATTGTGAAATTAGTTGATATTGTAAAAATGATTGAAGTCATGTCCATACATCGTACAATAGGAACGTAAAAATGAACGAGATCATCTCCATATATAGTACGATAAGTCGATAATTCCGGCGGAAAAACGACGGCAAATAAATTCTAATGATGCTGTCTATCTGCTATGTGTAAATTGGCAATGTGTATGTTTTATATAGTTACAGATTCCATTGCCTCAAAGAGTCCAAAATGAGTTATTGCAGGTTTGAGTAGCTTTAGTGTAGAATCTTTTTCTCCATAGCAATATTGACTTTGAGATTTTACATCGTTCTGTGAAACGAACAATGCAACATGCCATTGTATAACGGTTCCAATGAAGAAACACACCCACACGAGATATTAGACAGCATAACAATATCAATATCAACTACTCTGTCGTGTCAAGGTTTAATTACAGCCGTCATCATGTTAGTCATCAAGTTGGTACTAACTGCTCCCCTCTCTCTCCTCAGGTGCGAAGGCTTCCTGAAGCGCGTGTCGTGTTTTTATCGCTGCTCCCCCGATGCCGCGCGTTGGCCTCACCCCCACCGCCGCTCTTACATCCAGGCCGTGCCACTCTGCCACAGCTTCTGCCGTGATTGGTGAGTCTGACAAACACATTGCCAAACACATCTAAATCAAGATCAGCATCTGTCCCCCATCACCTATAAGGCTGTCAAGAGCGAGATGACTATCCGTCTTAGCGTAATGTGCCATCCACGCTAAGACTGAGTGTCCAATAAACTGCTTTTTATGTGTAGCTGGGGGATTAGTTTTTTGGTACACAACATGAGAAAATTCAAATGAGAGAATTCAAGTTGAATGTTTTGCCATTTCAAAGAATTTACCCACCTTTTTTTCCAGGTTTGACGCCTGCAGGATGGACATGACGTGTGCTCGTAACTGGGCCAAAGACCCCAGGGGACATAACTGCACTGGAACATGTGTTCAGTATCAGCAGGTAGGCTGTGATCTGGCACATCTGTGATCGGCTTTGTGTTGTTGTTTTGAGTGTGTTTAGCCACACTAGCAGCACAGCTTCATGGGTGGTAATTTAAGTCCCTCCAGCACTTTGGACCAGATGGAAATATCTCAACAACTCTTGGATGAATTGGAAATTTGGTTCCCTTGAGGATAAAGTGTAATACATTTTGTGATCCTATTGTTATTCATCTAGTTATGTTCACCAGGTTTATATTTTTTTGTATTTTCCAATACTTTTGGTTTATGACCAAATACCAGCAAACCTAGTGACGTTCCCTTAAACCTCAGCTGTACTTTATATTTGTGCTAATTAGCAAAGTTAGCATGTTAAACAAAGATCAACTAAAGCCTTGATCATACTGCAGGACGAACGCGGACAGCGGCCACCATTCGGATAATTAGTCTTGTCACACAGTTATATAGAGCTTTCAATATAACGGCTGCTGTAACAAGCTCTTTTAGCATTATTAAGAACATAAACTGATGCATTACGTATATGAGCAGAGTGCGGTCACGCCTTAGCTGAGGAAAGCAAACTACGTGTCAGAGGTTTGAAATCCCACTGATGTCATTTGAGCCATGTGCTGCAGGTAGAAGGTCAGATACTGACTGTGTGTTGGTGGTCAAGTGAGTGTGCGGTAAGCGAAGGGTTAACAGCGCTGGGGCCGGCGCTGTGGGCTGAAGCGTGAAAAGGTTCGGTCCTGCTTCAGCGGGCAGAGGCCAGCTGGGTGATTTAAAAAGAGGCAGAGTGACCGAGGGGCCGGTGTGACTGTCACACACCACATGCCATGGCTCTCCATCTATCTATCAATCCATCAATCTATCAATTCATCCATTAATGAATTCATTAATTTATTAATGAATTCATTCATTAATTAATCCAACCATCCATCCATCCATCCATCCATCCATCAATTAATCCATCCACCCATCCATGCCTCCATCCATCCATCCATCCATCCATGCCTCCATTCATTCATCCATCCATCCATCCATGCCTCCATCCATTCATTCATCCATGCCTCCATCCATTCATTCATCCATGCCTCCATCCATTCATTCATCMATCCATCCATCCATGCCTCCATCCATCCATCCATGCCTCCATCCATGCATCCATCCATCCATCCATCCATGCCTCCATCCATGCATTCATCCATGCCTCCATCCATTCATTCATCCATGCCTCCATCCATTCATTCATCTATCCATCCATCCATCCCTCCATTCATCCATCCATTCATCCATCCATTCATCCATCCGTTTTCCCTCTTTTATCTCTGTCTCTCTCCACCACAAATGCACACAAAGCCCCAGACACCAGACCTTTTAGTAAGGCTCTGTGGATGATTACTGGAAATGACCGATTTGTAGTAAGAGAGAGAGAATGTATCCTCAGAGGGAGCTCTTTGCGTTTGTATCGGTCCATTTTCCTGTAGTGCGACACTAATGGCTCCAATGAATTTAAGTTTGAAACAGTTCCCGAATACAAATAAACCGCATTCAGCACATTCAACAGATCAGGCCCTCGTAGAGAGACTGCAAACAAGTGCTCGCCTCTTGCAACAAATTTTTTTTGGAGGTCACAGCAGTAAAGCTTCATTCTCTCGTTTTCTGTCGGCCTCCTCACTGTCTGAGCTCGCAGCACTTCAGTCCACCTCAGGGCTGCGAAGTGATGTGCTGCACAGGGAAGCAAAACTGCCAACACGCACAGACAATCTCTGTGACGGAAAACCGCTCACAACTCTGAATTTAGAGATTTCTAAGCTTTACATTCAAATGGCTTAATCCACACATTCACTGTAGGTGGAGAAAATCCACATGAAACATTTTCAAAATCCTCGACGGATTCCCAGTTCCGGGAAAGTTCACCTGATAGATAGGAATGAAATGCAGGCGTCTGTGTTTGTGTGTGTGTGTGTGTGTGTGTGTTGCAGAATACATATGCTCACATACAGTGAGGATTTGTAAATGCTGACTGCAGTAGGTGTCAATTTGCATAGAAACAAGCGAATGCATTTAAAGGCACACATAGCTACACACACACATCCACTGCATAAGAAAATCCCCTCTGGCACTCTGTGTCTCACTTTGTCTTTGTACTCATTGGTAACATTATTTGCCAGCCAAGGTCTGATTTATCTCGGCATTAGACACTCTCTCCGCTCCAGGTTTTGTGGGAATGAGGTTACATCTGCAAAGAGAGGCCATGTCCGTGCCAGGCGCTGGCACAGAAACCCATCTAGAGCGGCATCTGTGGATCAGTTATAGTGAATTAATGGCCTTAGTATGGGGACATTCGTCAGATGAGGTTACTGAAGGTTACAGCCTGCAAATTACTATGCAAATATTGTGTACATAAGGTGTACCAATGAGATACTTATACTGGGTTCTTATCTGTAGTTGGGGAAGAAGTACAGAGAACGAGGGGGTAACAAATTTGCTATTTGGCTCGACGTAGAATTAAACAGCCCAGTGGCCAGGAAAAAAGGCATTGTACATTTTGCTAACCAGAGATACGTCGAATGTGGATGTTTTTGCATTCGGTCAGAGCAAGTGAAGTAGGACAACGAGCGATTGAAGTATATCGAAAGTTACGTGGTATAAAAGTCACGTGGTATAATCAAGTAGTAAATTGAGCCAGGTAGTCCAGTAAGGGCGTAAAGGAGGGGTGGTGGATGGGTCAAGCAGACACAGGACTTTTTACCCAGGAGGCTGCTGTTTGTGTTCCTTCGTGAAACCAAAAGTTAACGTTGACTTTACGCTTGTTACCTTAGCGCTGTTATGTTAGCGTTGTTACGTTAGCGTTGTTACGGTAGCGTTGTTACATTAGCGCTGCTACGTTAGCGTTGTTACGTAGCGCTGTTACGTTTGTTACGTAACGCTAAGAAGTCCGCTAAGGGCGGTTGTTATTTATTCACGCTAGTACAGTGTTACGGTTGTTATGTTATGTTGTTAGGTTACGTTGTTATGTTATTACGTAATTTTAAATTTGTGTATTGTTCAATATATCCATTACTGTAGTCATTTGTTCTCAAATCTGGATCCTTTCTATTCAGCTGGTGCTACATAATGAAACTGACCTTTTTCTAATTCTAATTTTGACCCCTGGACAAAAGAATCATTGCAAAAGACGAAAGATTTATCTTCAGTCAATGTCACAGAGATTTCAGTCCTCTCATTTCTTTCCTTTTTCACAACAGGTGTTACGTCGTAGAAGGGCAGAACTGAATAAAATGGTGATGGGAAGGACAGGGTAAAGCCCCGGGAAATTTCTGTATCTCACTTATTCGATCACACCATGTCGTCTAGAGCCACTTGTGCTCGTACTGAATTAGCTTTGGCAGCAAACCATGTCTGCCTGGGGAAGGACAGAACATTGTGTGTGTGTGTGCAGCCCCGTGTGTATAATGAGGTCGCTGCGATAAGACCTCAGCGTCAGGCAGAGAGTATATGTAGTGGAAACAGCCGCCATCCTCTTTGTCCTTCGACCACGGTAAATATATTACGGCTTTTTCTTCTCTGAGCACCCTGTGTGACTTAGACTTAATCCCCCAACCGACAGCAGGATGAAAGGAAGCAGACGCTGGGGTGGGGGTGTGCTACGGAGAAACAGGGAGAAGAAGATAGGCAAACAAACAGCGAGGGAAGCAATAAGAAAGAAAAAAAGATACGATAGAGTGGAAGTTAGGTGGGGCACAAAGGGAGCTGTAAACGAGGCAGCACGTCTTAATGACTGGTTATTAATCCGACAGTAAAGAGAGAAAACACACAAAAAAACCTGTTTGTGTTTGTCCCTGGAACTTCACTAATTAGCTCCCCAAACTCTTTTTGAAGCGTGTATAGGCCCTGCGCCATTTACGTGAAACAGCTTAAATGTTGAATTGTGATTTGTTTTCTTGCTGCGTTATGCACAATCCCTTTTTAATCCGTGCGTCTTACCGTATTAGAGAGGAGCATCATTTTTCATGCTCCAGAAACCATAAAGCCGATGTCAGCAGTAATTGGAGTCTTGCCTCAAAGTGTAACTTTGACCGAGCGCTGTGATGCATTTCCTGTCAGATAGCGAACACAAAAGGTGCCGAAAGTGACCTTTTCCGATTAGTTTAGATCTGTCCGTCTGCTCTGCAGAATCGTCGTTCTACCGTAAAGACGCCACGGAGATGAATTCTTTCAGATACCACTGTGAGCTTTTTCAAGGTCATGACTTGCTCTCGAGGCTGGTGGAGACCAGGTGAGGTGAGTGAAAGAGAGAGAGAGGCAGACAAAAGCCGTTTGCAAGAGCAGCTGCCAGGTGCCTGCAGCTCCCTCTAACACCTGTAAGAGGGTGTTTGTTTTCAAGGCTGGCGCTGCCCTTAAAGGCCAAAATCAATGATTCCGATGAATGCTTACAAGCTAAGAAAGGACATACCTCGTGAATGTTACACTTTTTTTAGATATACTCCAAAATACAATATCAGTTTGGACTTAGTCCAATTTGAGAAGTCATTAGCAGTTACTAAATAGCTCTCCTGACTCTAATAATTATCAGTGGTGGAAAGTACATTAGTGTCTCTCCAATTTATGCTACTTTACACTTCTACTCCAGTGCATTTCGGGGGGATTTATTGTACTTTTTAATCCACCATGTACCGCTATAATTACCAATTGATTATGTAATAGATAATGTACAGCGAGCAGCTCATTTCAGGTACAGATGGATTATTGAACGGGTATACTGGGCCCCTTGGCCTTCACCTCCAAGAGACATGTACCAGCCAGGAAGAGACTCAAAATAACAAAGAGACTAAAATAACCACATAGAACATAAAACGACCAAAAAAGAGACAAAATACAGCTACAAAGAGATACAAAACAGCTGCAATGGGACAAAGGGACCACAAAGAGACTTAAGACTATGAGAAGGGACAAAACAACCACAAAGAGACAAAGTAACTACAAAGAGATGCAAAAAGACTACAAAAAGGGACAAAACAACCACAGACACACAAAGTAACTACAAAGAGCAAGATGCAAAACAGCTGCAAAGAAACCAATAGACCCCAAAGAGACTTGCAACAACTACAAAAAAGGGCAAGACAACCACAAAAGGACTACAAAGAGACAAAGCCACTAGACAAAGACACAAAACTACTAAAAGGCAGCAAAACATTCAGAGATACAAAATGGCGACAAAGAGACACAAAACAACTACAGAGACAAAATGACTACAAAAAGTACAAGGCTTTACTAGGATTTGTGTGGGCTGTGAGGTCACCATGTACTACCAGGGATGATACATTTGTATCCTGTCCCGCAATGAAACTAACAGAAATATTATGTTAAATTTGTATTATCTTGCGCATTAGACTAAACGAGATACATCAAATGTAGAGTATTTGTACATTGTGGTCAGAGGAGGTGGTACACTGAAAAAAAAAAAAAGAAAAAAAAAGTGACATTTACTTGAAAAAAGCTAGGTAACAATTTGCACTCAGAAATTCCGAGTAATTTTTACTCAGGAATTCAAGTTAAGTTTACTTACTAGTAAGAATTGTTTTTTATCCAAAATTTTCAAGTAACCTTTACTTGAAAATGTCTTCCTTAGACATAAAATGTACTTAGCCTTTGATAGTAATCTTTACTCAGGCTACCTTTGCATCTAATTACAAAACCCCAGTAAAACTCAATTAGGTGTTTCATGTATATTTAACTAGCTTTTCTTTACTTTTTCAATTGAGAAATATTAAGTAATATTTACATAATATATCTTTTATCTACTACTACTCTACACAACTGTTCAAATATGAATGTTGCATTGTTTTTAAACTGGGCTACTGTTAATTTAATAAAATTGTCTTAAGATAAGGCTTCTACAAAACAACATCTTTTAAACTACAGCAGCTTTACTTGTTAACTGGTGAAAGAGGTCACTGCTGACAGACACACGCAAATACCAACATATATAATCTGGTTGGCATTGCCAGACAAAACATTTCTAAATCAATGCTGCCAATAAGAAATTTAAGAACAAACATTTAGTCATTTAACAACACTTTTAATTTGAAACGATGGGTATTGCTTGACAACACTTAGATACACAGATATAGCCCATGAGCAGAAGGCAAGCCGTTGCCACACTTTGACAGTCATCAAGAACCTCTTTTCCCTCTGACGACGAACACGATTGTCAGGAGTGAAGCCTTTCTGTGTTGCATTTCCATGGATGACAAGGATCTTCATGACATGTTGAGCATAGTCCTCTTCAATGACTTCTTTGAAATTCAAATTTACTAATGTTCACTTTTACATCTTCGAGTCTGATGTGTTCTCAAAAAATGACGATAGTGGGGTAAACAAACAAAAATATTGAATGTGTTCAAATGCGTCATTATGTATCTATTCTCAGTGTATATGAGCCCAACATAATTTTATATAATATTAGATATCTAAACTTTACCAGGCTGGGTGATTCCAGCATGGGTCTTTGTTCCTGCAACTCCGCCCTTTGTCCCAAGTATCTCCAGAAAGTTGATAGTGCAATTGTCCAATTTCGACAAAAAGTTTCGCTCCAGATGAACTGTGGTTATTCTTCTGAACTCATTGATCTGAAACAAAAGACAATAAAAAACATGATCAAGATGAGGTACCTTGCTAAAACAATTAATGCAGTAGTCCTCCCAGTACTATTGACAGCAACACAAACTATGACTTCAAATGTATATGTCAACTTAATTAAACATAACAGTACTGAGTTGATTTTACCTTGTGTCAACTGTTGATGTCAACTTGCTGAGAGTGAACGTCCTTTAATATTCTGTGAAATATATAAAGAAATTATGTTAAAACATGAACACACAACATTAAATCTGAATTTGGCTTAAATCTTCATATTGATAGCATGTTTTATCCCCACACAGAAAAACAGCACATAAACAAGCTAACATAACGTTAATACTGAGATACACAGCAGGCCTGGTCATGTTGATATGCGACACTAACTCAACACAGTACTGGCACCTTGTTCCATGCCCAAAGCCTTCATCATCAAGGACACCACATTGGATAGAGACATAAGAGACCAGTTTAAAACTAATGACAGAAATATAAGTTACTTTAAAAATATGTCAGAATATGATAGTGACAAAATAATGTTAAGTGTATTAGACTCGCTCTAAAGTCACTAATTCCACCACGTATGGGATATTTTTTAAGCACATGACCAGTGTGCTTGTTGCTGCTTAGCTATGATTCCCTGTCTTGTCACATTTTCCTCATTCGACCTCGGCTGCACTTGAGGATGTCCGAGAGAAAGCGCGCTGTGCGTGTGTCGCAGCACAGCAAAGCACCTGTGTGGCAGAAGTGGGCTTCACAAAACCGAAGTAATTCCCCCTCCCCCTCGTCGACGGAGCGCAGCTGGTCGAGTACCGTGTCCCCAGGCCAACAACTTTTCAAGGGAGAACCCTGTAAAATCGTGACCAAAACCACCAAAAACATGTCCACAAAATGTAGCGCCGTGAGCCATGTCTGTAATGCTGTCCCTAGTTAGCTAGCATGATAGCCTAACTAGCTAGCACGCTAAACTGACCAGTTCGCTACTCTTCAGTGTTCACAACTCAAACACAGACTTGACCGAAGGCTCAACAGCAACGTAGAGCATTAATTAAACATATAAACTACCCCAATGGCTCCCGTCCATGAAGTTCCTCTCCTCAGGTGAAACGCTGCCGTCCTTGTTCAGGTTCTGCTGTTCCGTCGTCTCGTTGAAGAAAGGAGCGCGAAATCTCCTCTGACGTCACCCCCTGAGTACGCGCTATAGGTTGCCAGGTTTTACTCATATTACCCAAGTACATTTTACTTTGTTGTGTCAGGTAGTGCATTCAATACAGTAGTTTAGTAGATATTACTTAGTGTGAATAATTAAAATGTACTTATAAAAATGAGGATACATAATTACAAACAAACACCAAGTAACACATTAAATAAAAGGTGATATTTTAAAGTAAAAGCACTGGAATGATAATTTCTTGTAAAATTTACAAAAATAATCGAGGTAATAATTACAGGGCCAAAAAGTCTTTTTTTTCAGTGTAGAATTCTCTTTATTTACTATAAATATGTTGTGTGTGTGCCTGTAGATGTACCAGCACGGCAGGGACCTCTGCGAGAGCCTGTGGGGGGACGCCTTCATGACCGTGGAGGACGAGCCGGAGGATGCCGGAGAGGTCGGAGCGGAGGGCGCCGGTGGTCGCCCCTGCGGCTGCCTGACCCTCAGTCCCTCGGACAAGGACGTGATCGCCGCACTCAGGGCCCAGCAGGACGACCCGGAGGAGCTGGACACCACCAAGGCCGGCCTGCCTCAGTACCGCGCCCCGTGCCAGACCAAGCTGCCCCTGCCGGCCAGGAGCGGCAGGAAGGGCAACTCCGTGCTGCGCAAGCGCTCCGTCATGGTGGAGGACGTGGAGGGGAGTGGGAGCGGCTTGTAGGGAGGAGCGGTAGGCGGCAATATATTTAGAGATCGTTGTCTAGATCCTAATCTCTTGAAACGGAGTTGTAACCTCGCTCATCTAACTAACCTTACCACACAGACCTAAACTGGCATTATCATTATTATTCTACATGCAATCTCTATGGTTTTAAATAACAATATACCTGGTATAAGATAGACTGACAAGCTTGCAACACTCTCAATAAACACCTGGTTATTTATTTGAACAACCTAAATTACCAGGATTTAAAAAAACAACAAATATCACTAATAGGCAACATCCTTAATTCTGCAAGGGCTCTGACTTCAATAATACAAATATTGATTATATCCCATAACGGCTGCACAAAAGTGAAGATTTTTTTATTTCAGAAGTCAGGTATTTTCTTTGCTTTGTAATGCTCTGTAAAACGCATCGCTGACATTTTGATATGAGGCTGTTGAAGTCCCAACAGCGTCAGCGCTTGTGCACGAATCAAACGCGTCGTCAGTAACCAGAGGACTTTTCATGGCAGTATCGTAAAACACAATGTTCCCGCAACCAGTACTCCACCGACCCCGCTTCTCTTCTCAACCATTCTATAGGTGACTTTTAATCTGTGCGCTAGTCAGTTGTTTAAAAGCAGATCTCGCCGTTGTGATGCCGTATCGTGCAGTTCTACATGTCATAAGGTCTATGATAGCGGAGAAGGCCACGCAGAGTAAAGATAATAATAATGAATGTAGCTTTCTACCAGAGATTACTGGCCCTGAACGCGAGGGATCGGGTATGATAACGACAACGGAGAGGCACGCGTAATGCCTGAGCGGAGGTTTAATACTCTGCCCGCCACAGTAAATCCGCAGAGGCAGCGTTCATACCAATGAAGGTTGCTCTGGTAGTTTGAGCACGTTGTATGTCGCCAATGTACCGTGGATGTTTCTTTTATAATTACAGCGTGTATTCTTTTTTTTTTTTAGAGCGAGGCACTGTTAGATGTACGTGTTTTGTAAAAAAAATGAAATAAATAAAAGGGAAACTGAGTTGTCAGATTTACGGTAAACTTGCTGAGATGGGTGTTTGCTGTGCTTTACGTTCTCAATAAAGACAATATTTCTAAATGCCAACCTGAGCCCGAGTCACAGTTCTTCATGGCTGCACTATTGCACTATTGCAGTCGAGCCCTTTATCATCTGAAAGTCCCCCAAAACAACGTGTATAGCATGCTGTAATGCAATGACTTTGGTCACTTTGTAGTCCTAATTGGCTGTTTGTTGTCCTCCTTGACACACATTTATGGATACTTTTTTTTTTTTTTAAATCAAATTTGTAGTTGAGTTCACTTGAGATAGATAGTGGAGCTTTTTACACCCTGTGAACAATAGGAGTACCCCTTGGGGTCCACTGGTTGCAGTGGCGGTTCTAGACCATTTCAAACACTAAAAACCCTTCGCCCCTTAACTTCCTCTGTGCGCATATATTTTGGGATGTAATTTTCTCTGTTGGAAACTTAACAGCCCAGCTGCCCAGGCTGAGCACTCTGTAGTTCTTCCTCATACCAAGTATACGTCACTGGTACGCAGAAGAGCAACAGATTTTGCCGCTGCGCCCCTCCGAGGCACTTAGAACATCAGTGACAACCGCAGGCATTTTCCACATACCTAACCCTTTTAAAATTACGCGCCCCCCCCCCC